ATATAAAAGGCTCAAAGGTTCTGATGATTTCGATCCTTATTACGATTCCAATGTAATAAATTATAACCATGGAATATTAGTGTTTGAGCCTTTTATATTATATTCTTACTCTGTCCTGGACATTGAGTTCTACCTGGATTCTATCCTCTTAAGAATTTCATTAGTTAAAGGTGGGGACATAAGGCCAGAATTAAAAATAGACTTGTGGGTGTGTCATGATCAATTAAATGTTTGACGCACGCTAGATAGAAAAGTCAGTTCAGAGTGTGGAAAGGAGTGGGTTATTTTTTCATGTTACTATAAACCGGAACGTAAAGAGGACATCATTGAGTATCGCAGAATATATATTTTTTCCTCAATCCAAGCCGCTATCCACTGCTCCACCGTGCCTCCTCCGGATTGAGGAATCGCAGAGCCGAGTTCAAATTCCAGTCGAATCCACTGCATTCACTTACGTGCTAATACCCTTGGGAAAGGTATGTATCCTCTTCATCTCCCTCCAACTATGGGTAAAATAGAAGGACAGACTGGGTTCTATAGCCTTGGATGGCAACTGGTCTAGGAGAAGGACAACTCTGAATTCAAAACCTGCGGAGGGTCGTTTGGGAACCTTGTGGCATGCATTCGGTGCACCAGGTTTCTGTATTCGTCCCTCCAAAAAGTGCGGCTGGTCCTGCACAAGGCCTTCACCACTATAAACAAATCTCATGTGCCGGTGGCGGGATATCGGTTCCCTGGGGACTTATCGGCCTGACCCTCATACGTCGAACGCGACGGGAGAGTCGATTATATATATATATATATATATATATATATATATATAATATTTTGTATTTATATATATATATTTATTTTTTATTTTTATTTTTGTTTATTTAGATAATATTCGGCTTATATTAAATGCATAACTTATTTGTGGAGAAATTGCATATTTAAATTGCTAACAAGCATTAAATTTAATTTCTTTGTTGAGTTTTTAAGCATTTAAATTACTATCAAACGTTAAATCTGTGTTTATCTAAATTGCTAAAGCTATACCACCCCTCTCCTTCCTTCAAAAACCTTACATTCATTTCTTATATTTTCTGCTTTTATTCCCCCCTTTCTTTTCCTTTTCTCTCTTTTTCCCTTTTTTCCTTTTCCCCATATCATTTTCGTTGAGTTGACCGATTAAATAGGTCAATATCTGATCCTTACCTCCTCCTTCCTCAATATTAAGTTTGTAATAAAAAGAAAAAGAAATTTTAAAACTCTCCCTTCCCTCTCTAAACTCGACCATGACTCTCACACTATTCCTCACCATCTTCTATGTCAACTTATATAAACTTAATACTGCCCGTCAAAAGTGAAAATTTTAAATTCATTTTTCGTTTAACCTGTGAAAGTGAAGTCTGAAGATCCAGTGAAAAATAAAATTTTCTGTTGAAATAAATTATAACATATGGAGCCTTAAAAGTGGTCTGTTTTCCTTTTTAAATTATATATATATATATATATATATATATATATATATATATATATATATATATATATATATATATATATATCCAACGTCGATAACCTGTAATCTTTAGGTGTGGATTCTGACCATTATCTGTCGCGTTCTTGTGATGGTCATTCAAAATTGGGTTTACAAACCTGTCTATTTAAAATATAGAATTAACTAAAAATAATTTATATCGTTCAAATTCATTAGTTCGAAATTTGGTAAATCAAGAATAATAAAAAAATTCAAAATAAAATTATTTTAAATTTGACTTTGGTTTTTGCTCAGTAAACAATATATCAAGGGTGGGGGGTAAACTCTCACGTTTTTTAGTAAAAAAAACGGAGTTATGTTCGTTAACATGAACCATAACACATATTAGAAATATAAAATAAAGCTGCAAAAATAAGTAAATAAATTAATCGATAAGTAAATAAATAAAAAAAAAATATAAGTAAATAAATAGATAAAAAAATAAATAAATAATTGATAGGGACTGTATATCTAAAATACTTATAAAGGTGAATTATATAATTAATCGAATACAGTAATATTGTATTGTATGTATGTATAGGTATATAAGTAAAGAGAACTACCTGAAACTCCGAGTAGTGTTATCACCGTTAAATATTATTGATATTCACTAATATATACTTATAGCTCTGTTTCAAAATACTGAGCACTGTTTTTATAAAACCTTAAAAAGTAAATAATAAACACCTTAACATAACACCTTAAATAAAATAAATATACTTACGTACGTGCAAGTATTTATGCGTGTATGTACATTTTTTATCCTATCCAACAGTGTGTGTGTGTGAGAGAGAGTATATATATATATATATATATATATATATATATATATATATATATATATATATTAGTTTATTACACCGAAAAGATTGCTACACAATTGGAGTCGTGTTTCGATGCGTATAACTGTGATATCCCAAAATATAGGAAATTTTTCTACGTTTTATCGAACTTATTGTTATATATATATATATATATATATATATATATATATATATGGCGTCACATTATGAAATAGACAAAGTCCGACAATTATTTTAAGACATTTTTATGTTTATACACTCTTTTATAGATAAAAATATTTAAGTAAATGCTCTGTTTATAATAAACAGTATTAAACAACATTTACCGGCCTGAATGTCCGAGAAATTTTCATAGAAAATATTCGCCCTCCGATAGGAATCGAACCTGTATCCTATACGGGACCGTCATATAGCCTGACGTGCCTTAACCGATTCCTCCACAGAGGAGCGTTCGGTTCGGTAGGTCGAGTTTACTGTCTTTTAAACTATATATATATATATATATATATATATATATATATATATATATATATATATATATATATATATATATATATATATATATCACATCACATCACAGGGGAGGAGTGTATAGCGGCTAGGATTGAGGAATCGGAGAGCCAAGTTCGAATTCCAGTCGAATCCATTGCATTCACTAGCGTCATTTGGGAAATGTATTAATCCTTTCCTCTCCCATCAGTTATGGGTAAATAGCAGGACAGGATTATATATATATATATCTAGGAGAAGAACAATTCTGAGTTCAAAACCTGCGGAGGGTCTTTTGATGACATTGTGGCACCAACTGTATGCGGCCCTTCAAAAACTGTTCACCACCATAATCTTTATTGCATTGATAGCTCAGATTTAGAAACGCCGACCGATGCCAAATCGACCGTGTTTCGGTCCCACCTTAATGGAACCAGATGTCTGGCCGCACTGATGAGCTGTGATACAGCGAAACAGGTCTGTATGTGAATGACAGTCTATCTATCTATCTATCTATCTCTCTCTCTCTCTCTATATATATATATATATATATATATATATATATATATATATATATATATATACAAACAAATTTTAACTCCTCTCTTTCAAACTTCTCTCGGTTAAATTTTAATCTCCTCTTCACCTTTAGGCCTTCCTGTTCTTTCTTCTGTTACACCCTCTCTCTAGAGCTTTCATTTCCTTCTCACACTTGTCTCCCAAGTGTAATATCACATTAAACGTTATTTATTTCACAATAAAAGTTTGCTTATTTATAAATTGAAATGTCAGTGCGAGGCTGAATACAAAGGACGGACGAGTCTCAGGTTAGAGTCAAGAATAAACGAACATGTTCCTAGGTATATTAGATTACATTCTTGTGATGATTCTCGTGTGTCACAATCAGCGCACGAGTCTTCAATTGGACAACACCTATTAGATAATGAGTTATGGTCGTCTTGTTTTTCGACTGACTTGTTTTCCATTTTGCATACAGGTAGATCAAAACATCATTTATTCATTTTGGAAGCTTTACGCTTAAAATTATTCCAGCCTGGACTATACAAGAAGAAGGAGAATTTTTTTTAAGATCCTTGAATTTATTCGGAGATATGTGAGCTTTATTTTTGCCTTTTTATGTTCCGCTGGATCAAAAAAAGTTTTCCTTTATTTACGTATTTCAATCGTAAATTTATTTGGTTCTTTTCTTAATTTTACGTATTTCGTAATTTTAAGCGTGTACAATCTCTTATCAATTCAAATGAGTTAAAAGTTGCCAACGATTGATCCCTGATGATACGTTGGCGAAAGGCAGCCTAGGTCCGGATATTTAAAAAAAAAATGAACATAAAATTATGTTTATTTAAATCAATATTCCTGTTCTGTGATATGAGGTCTTTGTTTTATATATATATATATATATATATATATATATATATATATATATATATATATATATATATATATATATATATATATATATATATTGAAAAGTTATGTTATATATGTCTGCGTTTATATATATATATATATATATATATATATAATAATGTGTACCTAACACGACGTAAAATTATTATTACCCAAAAATACTTTTTTTTTTTTTTTTTTACCGTTTATTTGTATATTTAACAATAATCATCGTTTATAATTAACTCTTAATTTTATATCAAATTACGGCAATTGCATAAATGTAAAGCAGGAAGCTTTTAAGTAACGGTTTTGCTTGTTACAAAACACTTCTTTAGTACAGACGGACAGATAGATAGATATGGACCCAACTGAGATAGATAGATAGATAGATAGATAGATAGATAGATAATGAACAGATTGCGATAGATAGATAGATAGATAGATAGATAGATAGATAGATAGATAGATAGATATGGATAGACTTATTTAGCCTGACGCCTCCGCTTGAAATCGTTTTTCGAAGTTGTGTGTGAAGCCAGTGATCTTAGCCAGATAAATAAAAACAGCTGATTTCCCAGGCAGGTAGGTCAGTGGATGTTTCACGTACCGCAATCTTTCTACTGCCATTTCATGTCCATCAAATTACGATCTAATTTCCTATCGATCCAGACGTCACTGTTCGAACTTCGGCATAAACCTGGAATGTTGACTTTATTGACAGAGAGAAATTGCGTGAGACTGTCTTTCTATTCCCCGATTCTTCTCACCTAAGCGCATATGAATTTACAAAAAACAGGTAAATATCTGATGACAGTTTTCATGTAAATAGATACGGACACCAGGGAAGAATTAGTAGGAAATAAATGTAAGATAATTAGAGAGATAGAAGTAAAAAAAAGAGGAAATAGGTGAGGATATATGAGTATAAATGGATAAGACTGAATTAGATAGATAGATAGATAGATAGATAGATAGATAGATAGATAGATAGATAGATATGAACAGATTGCGATAGATAGATAGATAGATAGATAGATAGATAGATAGATAGATAGATAGATAGATAAGACCCAACTGAGATAAATAGATAGATATGAACAGACTGTGATACATAGATAGACAGAGTGTACAAGATGTATATATGTACAGAATAAGGTAGATATGAACAGACTGCAATAGATAGATAGATAGATAGATAGATAGATAGATAGATAGATAGATAGATAGATATGAATTGATTGAGATAGATAGATAGATAGATAGATAGATAGATAGATAGATAGATAGATAGATAGATCAATGGGAAGATAAGATAGATAGATAGATGTACCTATGTTCACTTAGCCATATTATACTTATGAATGACAATCTCTTGCCTATACTCTCTCTCTCTCTCTCTCTCTCTCTCATAGAAAAATACCTCGCTGTTGGCATTGTATACTGATTGACACAAAAGAGTCTATGTAGGCGAAAATTGGTTTGAATCCTGTGACAATGGTGAGCTGCATATTGATCTGAAATGTTCACTGCATAATGTTCCATCGCTGTGATTAATGAGGAATCGTAAGTTAAAATACATCGACAAGATAGGAAATTATTTTGACATTTGATATTTGTTGAATAAAACTAAATGCTTTTTGTCATCGTTGAATACACACTTCTTTATGTACGTCAGTGGGTGCGCAGTTACACAATCCATTGTCCCCTCATGATAACGACCAATATATATTGTAGAGCGCCTAGATTTTATAAGGATAGATAGATAGATAGATAGATAGATAGATAGATAGATAAAGGAATCTGATAGATAGATAGATAGATAGATAGATAGATAGATAGATAGATAACCAAACACCCATAATTATAAATATTGACATTCACTATAAATATCGCAGATTAGTTATAAATCTACTGTCTGCAGATTACATTATAAGATATCATAGAAAATTATCCCTGATTATAGGTAACTAGGATTTTAGAAGTAAGCTGCAAAATACTGTTTGACGCTGGTTAAATATTTAATCTTTAGAAATGTTATAGCTAGATATATCTGGGCGTTTTAAAAGTTTAGAAATTAAAGATTTCCAAACCGATATTTTAAATGAGATGAATTAGGTTGAGGGGAATGTTTTTCAAGCAGCTTTTTATAACAATACCAAGAAATATCGTTAATAATGGCATTCTTTAATCAGAATTTTGATAAAATACAAGAGATATTAATTCCAGATTTAGCAGTCCATTTTTGGCTTGTGTTTGGAATTATTTCGCAAGAATATATCCATTCATCGAATTTTGAAAGAATAGAATAGAATAGATAGATAGATATGAACAGACTGAGATAGATAGATAGATAGATAGATAGATAGATAGATAGATAGATAGATAGATAGATAGATAGATATGAACAGATTTCGATACATATATATGAACAGACTGCAATACATAGACAGATTGTAAAAGATGAACATATGAACAGACTGAGATAGACATGAATGGACTGCTATAGATCGATATGAACATATTGCAATAGATAGATAGATAGATAGATAGATAGATCGAATTTTGAGACAATAGAAGAGATTTTGAATATCGTTGGTTTTCAAAAACAATACATAATATGTCGGGCTTTGGTGATTAACTGCCTTTGTCTAAAATCGCAATATATTAAGAATTGGTTGGGATCTCAGTTATTTAGCGTCTGTTGCATTGGGATTAATAGTCGCTTCAATTCGATCTTTTTAAAGCATTTACCCCTAACCAAATTGGGAGTGTCACTAGCACGAAAGGGGTTATAGAAGAGTGAGAGCAAGAGTAAAGAGGGTTGTTTGACGAAAGGATATAGAGAAGGACGGGGATCAGAATCAAGGCCTCAGAAGATGTCGATGGATATTACATTTGAATATTTGAAGATTATAGCTATCAGAGAAGCAAGTAAGAGGAAGGGAGTTTTACTGTCGGGAAGTGCTAGAAAAGAAGCTGTTGGAGTAGAAGAGGCGGATACATTCGAATGTTTCGACAGTGAAAGTGTGGGACCGAGATGCCAACCTTGCAGCACGCATAAATTTATGCATCTGGGGTACCAATGAAAGTAGCACGTCGGAGCTGTTGCCATGAAAATATATGTAGAAAAGACGGAGGGAAGCCACAGCACGGCAGAGGAAAGCCACAGCACGGCTGTGAGACAGTGACTGTAAGATCAGGACTTATCCCACTGCATATCCGTCTCTGGAGTTTGTCGAGGACCTCGAGATGTCCAGCGGTGGCACCAGACCGTATATGCCAGCGGTATTCAATGCAAGGAAGAATGGTTGATTTGTAGATTGAAGGATCGGGACATTATTCATTACACCACCCACAATCAAAACTTAAAGCCCCTGGTATACCCAAGCGGTCACCCATTTAGGTACTGACCAGGCTTGTCGTTGCTTAACTTCGATGATATACGGCAACAGTATTCAATGCACGGAGGAAAGAACTTAACCAAAGCGAAACAAGAATTCGACGAAATGCCGAATCAAATATATATTGAGATTAGAGAAAGGAAATAAATAACCAAAGCACCTACTGTTAAAAGGTATCTTCGTGAAAATAATAATAACCACATCTTTATTATCAAACTAGCAGTAGAGCCCGGCGTTGCCCGGGGATGTAACAGTAAGAGATAGATCAAGTATCGACCATCATAAAGACTGAAAAATAAAATTGACAAAGATTATTGTTTAAGGTTGACGGACACGCATGTCTTAATTAGTTTTTTTTTTTCTTTACGAATTGGTCAAGCCCAAACAAAAACATTGTTATCAATCGTTATGAGTCTATCGATTGAATAGAATTTTATTATAAACACTTGTCTTGTAAATGGAATTTTTAAAGCATTCTGAATGTAAAAATAAAGAAAAAAGTGTGCAAGACAATAAGAAACACTAACTGACAAAAAAAGTGAAGTTTTGTTGAAATCGGTTGAAAAATGTAGGAAATTCGATCCCATATATAAACGACCACACACACACACACACAACCTGCGTTTTATAATAAGTAAGATGACTGAAGCTACAACCAAAATCTAAGCTGCATATCTAAGAACGATAGCTTGGAAAATAGCGAAATAAAAATCCAAATCCAAATTATCTCTTTTTTCCGTAACACCTTACGCCTTAGTTGCTTTATTGCCTTGCTTAGGATGAAATGATAAAAAACTAATCGTTTGAATTGATATTATAGCCGTAAATGCAGAGAGTATAGCGTATTGATCGTTTATTGGCATCGTGGTTAAGGCAAGGCCTTTGATCAGGAGGCTTTGCGAAGCGTGGAACCTTTTCTTAATTGCTGATAATCCCAGGTCCACCCTGCCCCGGGGTGGTAACATCTGTTAGGGTCCCATCTATGGTCATCATATGGTAAGAGGGGTCAAAACGCTATGAAAATACATTTTTATAGTAAAAATACCAGCAATACCGTTTTTATATAAAACAATTACTGGTACTTTATACGTCCGCAAGGGGAAAATGTTATTTTGGGGGTTGTGGTTCCATGTATCCAATGGAACTCTCACTTTAAATTCAGTCTTGTGCCAAATTATTTTCGAGAGGTCATACGAATAAATCCAGACCAGAGAAAAATGTCGTCCTTAGTATGACGATAAACTCCATCCGCGTCCTGGGTAAGACGATAAACTACGTCCAACTGCAAGGCCTCTGATCAGGAGGTTTTGAGGAGTGTGGAACCATCTCTTAACTGCTAATGTTCCCAGGTGCACCCTGACCTGGGGTGGTAGCACCTGGTAGGGTCCCAGCTATGGGCAAATAGTTGCCCCCCACCAAACTGGGGTCAAAACAGCTATGAAAATAACGCATTGAGGTGTTGACATGCCGTAGAACAAATCAAACCAAACCAAACCAGCAATAAAAATCTTGTCGGCATTAAATAACCCATTGAGGTGCTGATATGCCGTAAAACAAATCAAACTAACCAAACAAAATGATCGAGTATTCGTATGTGACATCTACTGATGTAACATCTAAGAAACACTAGAATCAAGAAGAAATAGATAAGTGCCCTAGTCGGTTTTGCCTCATATCCAAGAATTTAATTTAGTCTTTGCAGATCGCTTCCTTTATGATGGCAGCTTTGGTTTGGTTAGTTTTACGGCATATCAAACTCAGAGGGTTATTTAATGCCGACAAAATTTTTATTGCTGGTAATGTTTTTCTTCAAAAATCTATTTCTGGGAATATTTTTCCTTGAAGAAATCTGTAGCTGGTCATATTTTTTCCAAAGAATGTATACCTGTTTGTATTGCTGTTATTTTTTTAAAGTATTGCTGATAATAGTTTTTCCTTCAAAAATTATTGCTGGTAATAATTTTTTTTTTATTACAATGTATTTCTGGTATTAAAACCTATTTTTACACAATTTTGGGTGTTAAGTATTTGCACATATCTGGGACCCTAATAGGTGCTACCACCCCGGTTCAAGGTGGACCTAGGATCACCAGCAATTAAGAGGTGATTCCACGCTCTTCAAAACCTCCAGATCAGAGGCCTGGCAGCTGGATGCAATTTACCGTCTTGCCCAGGACGCAGATGTGGTTTATCGTCATACCCAGGATGGGATGACAGCTTTGATGACCAAATTCGCCGCCAACGTACAATTTCAGGACTAGAAACTTGCAGTTGGAGGTGAAACAAAATCAGAGTAGAAGAAAGTGTCAATGTCCTTTATTTTATAAAAATTTTATTTTTTATTTAAAGAAAGAATTTTTAAAAAAAGTCAATTTAAATGTAAGACCGTCTAGGTGTTGTTTTTTTTTGTTTATTTACACGTCTTTTGAGGAAGGTGTATTTTTTGTAAGCCGGACGGTGTGTGTGTGTGTGTAAAAAGAAAAAACTGTGCAATTTTTATGACCATTTCGGATCACGATTTGCCGCCAAAATTGTTTGCCAAACTCTGATTTTCTTGTGTAAATTTTATGACCCTTTCGGATCAGGAATAGCCGCCAAAAGTGAAATTTTTAGAAGGGCCTTTTTTTCATATATTGGCCAATGAAAATTGAGTTTTCGAGATTCGGATGGCCCCAAGTGGAGCCGACTTTTCCAAATAAAAGAGAGGGCATTAAGAAACGATGGGGAGAAGCAATATAACGATTAGGGAACAGTGGCAGAGATGACCCGCAGTTCGCAGACCACTTAACACCAACACTCTACATTGACCGGCAAGTGGGCCATAAATCAGCCTTTCTCCAACTACCAAACCAAACCAATCCGGCCTGCTGTCAATGAAAATTCTTCAAAGAAAGTAGAACCAACCTTTCCCAAACCAATCCGGCCTGTAGTCAACGAAAATTCTTCTAAGGAAGGAGGTGGGTGCCTTGCGTTCTGCTATGTGTTGGTCTCTCTAAAATCTCTGTCCCTTTTATGTACTTTGTAAAAGCTCTAAAACTTTGTCCCTTTTTTGGTATTGTTGTAAAGGGTCTGAAAACTTTATCCCTTCTTTTGGTGTTTTTTGTATT